CCCCTACACACTTAGTTTTTGAAAATATTGTTTTATTTCCAAGAAATTAAAACATTTCTTTCAGGGCGTCAATATGCTAATTAGAGGGGTCTAAATATGAGCAGAATTACAGACCTCCTGTCCTAAAACTATGTGTTCTATAAACGTTAGTAGAGTGATTTTTTTCGCCTGTAACTTGAATAAAGAATTTTTAGTCGATTTTTTTACAGAACATACTCTCAACACTCTCAAAAGTAGCTCCAAAACAAGTGGCAATTTTACTATGACCATTTATTTTCAAGCTATTTAAAGATGAGGAGTTTTTCTACAGTTTTAAAAAAAATTAGCTTGGGTAAATCATTTTTTCGATTTTTATGTTCGGTCAAATTTGCCGTAATAAGCCGTTTTTTAGGGCCCGGCTTAGCTTTTGAAACGAACAACACATCTAGATCTCGCTCACTAATAAAACACTTGAAGTTTTGAAGTGCTTGCTCGAGAGTTTTGGTCTTACAGAAAATGTATTGACTTACGAAAAAAAATTTTTTAATTTACCTTAAACGTCTTCAAGATTCTATCTTTTTCTGTTTTTTATTTCTTCATTTTATCTTTGGACACCAAACAAAGTATTTTCAAAATTGTCTGATCAGCCTTCAGCAAAATAAGAGGGTTTTTACCCTTTGGTTACCCACCAAAGACGCAAAGGATTATGGGAATGTGAAAGTCGAGAATATTATCACTTGGTGTCACGGTCGGTAGAAGGACATTCCAATTCTTTATATTTCGCAACAATATCGGTATAATAGTTTTCTCAATGCAGCTTCAGAAATCAAGCAGGATCTTTAGCTCTCAAAAAATATGGAAATATAAGCGATCTTCATTTAAAAGGCTGAAATGTGCGGAACAGTGCAGACAAATTCAATCGTTGTTTTGAAAGCCATTGTTGACACAGATAACGTTTATAATATGACAAAACAACACCGGATCTTCGTTCAAAATCTCTCATAAAGGATTTAGTCTTTCTACATTAACGAGGTTGGCATGGTTAGAAACATAAAGTTATGTGTAAAAGCACTGGTGAAACTTCAAGTGTTTTATTAGTGAGCGAGATCTAGAAGCCCCGGCTTTGTTGTTCAGTTTCAAAAGCTAAGCCGGGCCCTAAAAAACCCAAGCAAGAGACGCTTAAGAGGAGTGAAAATGGACAAACTTTGAACAGAGCGCGCGTAAAAAATAAACCATCTATTACAATTTTTGAACTTTCTTCTTAATGTATTACTCTTTTTCGTTTATTGGACCGGATTTCAAACTTATTGGGAAAGGGACGAATTTTTGGCGAGGGAAAATAGGAGGCCTGTGTTTACATATGCTAATTGGTTGCCTTAAAAGAAAAAAAGATTTAACTATGGGCAAGTTCTCTCATTGAAATAATATTTATGCTGCAAGTTGAGGAAGAATAGATCTTTTTAAAACTTTAAAGATTGATTTGGGAAAATTAATTCTGACTGCAAAGAAATCTGTTGAATTTGGTTGAAATATATGCAAAACTCACGCTTCCCGAATCAACGCAGGACTAAGGGTTTTCGTAAAGATTGCCATGAATTTTACCCTGAAAACTAAGAAATTATTGTTCGTGCCGTTGTTTGAAAGTTCCGTGTGATTTGGTAAATTTTAAGCTCCATTAGAAAGGTTTTGGGATTGTCGATATATGAGCAAAAATCGCGATCTTTGATGATTGCGTGACCGACATCCCACTTTACGTCTTATAGAAGTTTGATTACTGTAAAATTCACGCTAAAAAATACGATAGAAACCGCGTTCTTTAAATAGATTTATAATATTGTTTAAGCCAAATAAGTTTTGGGTCAATGAAAAAGCGGTTTCCACAGTTAGTTTATATATGCATACATCACGCCGCCTAATGATTACTTGACCCAAGGTCAATGATTTTTAGAGCGACTGATTGCAAATATTGTTGAGTTTGGTTGTGTACACACTAAAACCATGATGTTTAAAAACAAACATGCAAGAGATTTTCAAAATTTAAGTTGGTAGAGAGAAGAGGAAGTGCATCCGCAAAGTAATATCGAATTTCGAAAGTGAGAATACAGTGTAGCCAAGGAAGATAACGGGGAGATGTTTCCGCGTAACAAAACAAGTAAGCAGATTGCAAGTGTCAAGATTCTTAATTTAAATGAATACTACAAGGAATTTTATTGCTATTTGAACTCGACATCTAAAAAATTTTTACCTTGGCGAAAAAAGCCATTCATAGACCTTTGAAATTTTGAAAAAATTGGTCAAATGAAATCGACGGGCCAGTTGGACCAGCCCAAGGGGTGCCTTTGTCACAAAATTCAGCTCCATTTGGCTTTGCTTCATGGACTGACTTAAAGAACATTCCTAGTTGTAAATCTAGTACACAAACATTTTGAAAGATGGAGAAACT